TGTTTTTACGCACATACGAGTGTATTTCGACATGCACTTTCACTTTCTATTTTCTTTTCCAGGACGGCTGGAAAAGAACGATGATGTTTACGAGGAGTCGAAGTTTTCGTTGCAACTTTTTTTTTTACTATGTTGTACCTCGGTCCCATATAGTAAGGAAAGACGACCAGACGCTGCTACACTTAGTAAGCTATCAGAAGAGTGTATACCAACGACAAACTCGTTGGGTTTAAACTTCTGGCTGGCCACGTCTTAGGGTCGTCACTGCCCCACTAGAGGGGGAGTGATCTGTAGCGGTAAAAAAATCCCCAAAATAAACAGCTCTGTAAGTTTTCGACATTGGATGCTGACCATATGTTTTGGTGGAGTCATCTAGCTGAAGGCGCTCGGTCAGGCATCCGCACCAGATCACGTGTGGTAACGCCGTGCTCAACATCAACCGCAAACGCTAGCCAGATTAGATCAGAGAATTCCGATCTCCTCGACTCTGTCTTTTGATTTCTCTAGGTGGGAACGAAATATATTAGAAGGTGTTAATGGTAAAAGCATTGTCAAACACTGAATACCTGTGACATCATCAGTGCTTACAAATGGTTCAAAATGGTTGTGGACGGAATAGAAGAAGCTTTTGCTTAACAGGCTTCCGTGTCTAGTAGGAAGGGATCACGAATACCTTCCAATTTCGAATTAAAAACCCAATATATTTTAAACGAGCTAGTAAATTGAAGTCGACTTATCATAACTAACTAGCTTTTTAAAACTGTTCCAAACGTCTTGAATCGTTTATTTAGGTTATTCTGGACAAGCTATTACCCTATTTTTAGACAGAGGTTAATTTTCTTTCAAGATGGTTAGTGAAGATTTCACATGGCAATGAGTTTAGTAGGTACTGTATCACACAAGCCCAGAAATACTTTGGTTGATCGTATCAAATCCTGAAAGCAGAAAATAAATCATTTATAAAGATGGAAGACGGACCAGAGAAATGATTTACAGATGCCGCAGATATTCATGATATAAAGGAGAGTTTGTCTGTAACACAAATATAATCAAAGTATACCAACCCAGTCAAATCATAAATCGAAGATGAATTGGTTTGAACGCATATTAAGAATGTTTTTAACGTGTTGAGAAATGTGCAGCGGTAAATCAATTCCAAAAATTAATACTCCTGTACGTTTTCACAGGAAATCAGTAGTTGAAGACGATCATTCAAGCACCCATACCAGATGACGAGTAGATATGCCGTGCTACACATCCCTCCCAACTGTTAGTCAGCCTAGACCAAACACTTCTCAACATATCGATAGCCTTCCAAATACATCTTCGAACCCTAACATTCCTTACTTTTGAGTTGCCCGAGTTGGTATACTTCGAATATAAACGTGTTATGTGTAAAGACGTTGTCAAACTCCGAATGTCTGTGGCATTCTTAGTGGTGAACCTGATGTGATCAAATACACCAAACAATGAACTGTGAGTCTGTTCCTTGGTGGGACACTGAATGTCGTTTCTTAAAATTTATTTTTACATATGGTGATATTCAGCTGGTATTGTTCATTCGAATCTTCCAATTGATGAGAGGTACTGAGTTCGAGCCTCGGAGTGGACGTCAGCTCGGAGATGCAGGTACATCCAGCTGACGGGCCTCAAGTAAGACGAAACGCAAATCCTGGGTTTCACTGCCAGCCACCATCCAACTTTGCTTATAATGTAGTGATATTGTTTTAATATTTTCGGATAATTTTCCCGTCCATTTGTATATTTTATCTTCAGTATGCCGGGACAGACATTTAAGCTGACTTCCACAAGAATAGCACGAGAGACCCAAGTGCGCAATTCCTCGCAGTAGTAAAGGCACTACCTCGAGATTTCAACAGGTACGTCACACTCAGTATGTCTGCTAGTAATGTTTCGTAAGCTTACGACACTTGAAAGGAGGATGTTCACAATTTGAAGGCCTGATCAACCGACAAAGGTCAGACCAACTGTTCCACAACAGGGCTCAGAAACGGAAATATTGTCGCAAACGCGAATGGTCGCCAGCCAAAGAACCTTTGACGATAGCCTGTTTGGACATTTCTTCTTCTCTTAGCTTCCCCAACAGGTGCAGGTGGTCCTCGTTTCATTTCAACGTAACGCCGTATACGAACTGGCTGCATCTGCCGATTGGATTCTGGAGAATACCAGAACTTCCAGAGTCGAGGTTTATTCTATCGAATAAAAGTTCCAACACGAAAAGGTGTCACAGACCTCTGCCATACTCTCAATCGTCACCTTAATATTCTTCTCGGTCGTAGACGCTCAAAAAAGCACGTCACGAAATAAATCTGTCTCATGACCACGAGGAACAGGTAATCCTGATTATTGCTGGTACAACAAGTATGGTAGCTCTTCTAGAAATTATAGGAAACTCTTCAGTTTTTCCGGCTCCGAACAATCCGACACTTAAAACCTCTCTTTATTTCCTAGTCGGCACGTGTTAGTGGTATCCGTAGCCGGCGGATTCAGCTGTTTGTTGTGTAGCATAGGTATAATGACTACAGTTCACTGTCTCGTGGACACTGGCGCAGAATCAAGAGTTCTCTCCGCAAATTCTAACGACCGTATACTTAAGTGGGTCTTCAACTTACAGGCGACACTTGATAAACCGATTGACACACAAGGTAAGCGATTTATGTATCTTAACATATGTTTACGCAAACCCATTCCCTGAATCTTCTTTGTTGCAGGTTTTTCTAAGCCAATCATTGGTATAGACCTGCTACAACACTATGATATGCTGATCGACACGCGCAAACATTGCTTTGTAAGTGGCGACACTAGGGTGACCATTTTTGTGCCTTCCTTTTTCGGTTGTTAATCATCCCCACTAACTGTTAGGCACATAATCGACCCATCATATCAACAGATACTCGATAAATACTCTGATCTGTACTAAACTTGAATAAAATCAACATGTGTAATCAACAGTGTTACACATCGTATCACGTCTACAGGATCAACTGTATTCACGAAAGTGAGTCGACTAACTCCTGAAAAGATGAGATTGGACAAAAACGGATTCGACAGCATGATAGACTTAGGAATCATTCGGCCACCGAACAATTCACTGGTACTGCCTTCAGTTAGTCAGTTACAACGTAGGACCTCATTTGCTTATCAAGACGAAGGTCGGATTCACAAGAGTAGTTAACTTCAGATATACAACACACTTCTGGGGCAAACAATGTAATGGAAGAAGCCTTGTTTCGTATAACGTTCTTAAACACTTTCCGAGGAATCGGCCTTCCTAAGTTTGTACATTTTCAAACAGAAGACACTGATATCCAGCACAATTTATCTTCGATAACCCTGAAACTGCGTACCAAGCAGATGGAAACGGGTAAGGAAACCTTACTGTGTGATATGTCTGCAGTTTGAGATCATCCAATCGTGTCGAAATATTGTCGACGCAGTGTCTTCAATACGTGTCACAAGCCATCTTGTCCAGGTGTTCATGCAACCTAGTTTTAACAAGGACGTTAGGGATTGGACTCGTCGCATGAAATCTAAGATGATTAGACATAAAAAATGTTTTTTGTGTTGTGTTAGAACTCTCGTCACTCGTTTTGACCATGTTTATCTTGATTGGTCAGGACCCTTGCCGGATATAAGTGGATACTCCTACGTCATAATGTGTTAGGACAGTACCACATGGTGGCCAGAAGTAGTACCTATCAATGACATTACTACTGAAAGAGTTGCCTGAGCCTTCTCTCAGTGATGATTAGCAAACATCGGATGCCCTTCAACTAATACTATAGACCTGAAGATTTTCTTTATCGGACTGCACTACTAGGAATCACAAAATTCTGAATGACCGCCTACCAACCACAAGCAAACGGGTTGACAGAACGATTTCACCAACAGCTAAAAGCCTTACTCTCAGCTGCAAATGTTTCACAATGGGCTGATGCACTTCCACTCGTTTTGCTTAGTACTCACAATACAGTGAAAGCTGACGTTGGATACACTGGAGCATAACTCGTCTACGGAACTACACTTTGAGAGGCTTTGTGGATTCTTCATTTTCTTTGGTGATTATGGATGTAATCTCTCACACGATCAGGCTTACAAACTCCATGGGTCCAGTTAAGCCTGTTTCCACTTAAGCCCAATCAACTAACGTTCTCATTCGAGCTGCCTTACGACATTGTACATGGGTTTTTGTACGTCACGATTCATTACGACGATCCCTGTGAATGAAAAACGAAAGACCCTTCAAATTTCAGCATCGTAAACCTAAACACTAAATCACAGATATGGACGGTACTAACGATAACGTCATCACTGATCATGTTAAGGTCTAGTGTATAGAAGGAGGCATTAATATCGATGATTTCCATCCAATACACTCTGACGACACGAGTCTGACAATCACTTATAAAGAGACTTCGCTGGTATCTAAAAATCGGCACAAGAAATGCTTTCTGGAAGAAGAGTAAGTTTTCCAGAACACTCAAACGATTACTGCACGTACGACACTATATAAGATTTTGTTTGATATCTATTTTTCTATTATTTTTGTGTCAGAAAATACGTTGTTTACATTAGGCATAATTAGTGATCGTTGGTACTACGACATATATCATAGTACAGATCCCCAACTCCCATTCGTCTTCAGTGACAAGCACTGTTCAAGAACCCTTTCCTAAATATGAATTGTTCTGTACTCTATACAAGTATTTATTCGCCAGAAGACTCCAAGCAGCAGTATTGGATCCATAAGTTCACACAAATTTTGAAAAAATTGAAATTCAGATATGTAGATCTCCGAAAGCTTGTATACGGTACAATATCTGACTTTTCTGAAGGATAAATGGCACCATCAACTACAGTATGTCGAATTAAACAATTTTACAAAGTTCGTTGTCCAACGTTTTTAAGTGTATAATAAAGCGATTTATTTAAGCTATTGTCAATTTTTAGTTCAAATAATAAATGGCTCCATAATATTTATTTTGTCCAATCAAAACAATGAAGTGGTTATCTGATATATCAGAATCACTTACTCTAAGGTTTGTTTGTATTTACCAATGTTTCATTTCGTTTTATGGCAAAATCTTGAATATTATTTTTCGGTATGTATTAGCGCTGTTATTATCTGCATCATTATCGTCCACTGAAAAATCTCGCAAATGGGTGAAAATTTACATAAAAAGTCTGACTTAGAAGTTGAAAATGAGAATGTCGTCGTTGACTCAGTACTGATGCATAAAGCTACACCAGAATATCTTCAAGAACTACTAAAAGACAAAAGGCAGCTGCAGAATTTCCCAAACATATTTTTACACTTAGAATTCATTTTGGAGAAAGGTAAATACTTCGTTAATATATTTCATATGTTTAGCTTGAAGTTATCAGATTGTATCTTGTTTTAGGTGGTGCAGAGGTAATGTCAGACCTAACAGACTTTCAGTATAGATTATAAAGCCGTATCTGCATCCTAACATTTATGAATTTATATTTCTTTCCAGTCCCTTTGTATATGAATCGCTCATTCAACTGGCCTTATCTTCACACTTTGTTAATAAAACCACATGTTTCTTTAGCTTGACGTTAATATTTAGTGAATTGTACTAATTTTGTTAAAATATTAAAATTGACATGTGAAATGTGTTGCTCAAATCAACAATAATACATCATTTGTGCTTCTAATTGGGATCTAATATGGTCTTTAACGTTACGTTGTGTATGTCTAAACTTTTGATCAGTACCATTTGTTTAAGACTATTGAAATACTAATCTAAAACCAAGCTTGATTTATGATAATGCACTTATTCTAATACATTTTGAGAGTATTACAGTAACATAATTATTATAGTTTTGATTTCCTTCAATCGGTAGTGAGGGTTATCTCACCATAATAAAAGTTTATTTGAGTGTTTATCCGATACCTTCGTACATTATAAATTGTTTGATGTCACTCAAGATTATCGTTGTGTATTTTGCCATTGCAGAAATTACTCGCGTAAGGCAAAAGCTATTTCATTTAAACGAATCAGTAAAGAAAACTGAAAACGAGCTTCCAGTACCCTCCGGAAATATTGTGTCATTACAAGAGAAGGTGTTTGTTCCTGTGAAGGAAAACCCTAATGTTGGTTAACTTCATTTACTTAAATAATCCTAATATTTTAGTATAACTTTGTTGGACGCCTTCTCGGTCCGAGAGGATTGACTGCGAAACAGCTTGAACAAGATTTGGAGTGTAAAATCATGGTGAGAGGTAAAGGATCACTTAGAGACAAAAGAAAGGTAAAACGTGACGAATTAAAAATAATATATCAAAATTTCGTTGTCCCTTACACATCGCATAGTATAAATTGTGCAGGCTTGATAACGTTTTATTCTTAATACTATGAACGTTTTGCCATGTTGATCAGAATTTCGTCTTCTGGTAAAATCGATGGTTTTATATCCTACGGATATATTTTTTAACATGTTGCTGAAGTAGATCATTTTTAAATGGTTCTATAAGATGCCAGTAATAAACTGAGTTTTCATAGATGGATAAATAATATTTTGATATTTCGATCTGACATATTTCTATCGTTTGTACGTACGTATACATAGTAAAACTACTAGTGCTTTTGTGTACGTAAACTAATGTTATCACATTCGAAAAGATTTTTTTTGGAAGAGATATTACCGGCACCCAGTGATCACTTCATAGTAAAACTTAAGGAAGATGCCACAGATTGATGAAGTACAAATAATAGCCACTTAGTTAAGCGAACAGAAATCGGATAGACAAATTTACTTCTTTTTGCAAGCGAGGTTGTAATGTTTTGAAGATTGAGATCAGTTATCTGTGGTTGAAATCGCAAACGTTGAAAAACTTATCTGTAGATTTGTTTTTTAGTCTTAACTGACGGGAACGTGTCAAGTAAATATTAACAATAACAAACTAACTCCAATATTCCTATTCACTAGCTGTTTTATAGATCAGTTACATTCTTGATTAAAGTTAATTCTTTCTGACAGTTCATCAACCACATGCTATGGTAGTTTAAAACATAAACCATGTGTACAGCTGTAGATCTCTGGGGAAATAAAGATATCTCATGACGGACTGAAATTTCCTAACGGAATTAGAGTGCCATAACGAGGAGTTATTTTACGTGTTTGATTATATAGTACACCTTCAGTTTTTTTGTGTTGCTATGTCACCCTATAAAGTAGATCATAGCAGAATTCTAAACATCTTGTATCAGAATTATTTGTTATGTTTGATGTATTTTTAACGTTTGTTCAATTACCTATGTACATATTTCCAACCACCACTTTATTAGTGTGATCTCTTTGAAAAAGATGTTAATTCACAAGAATGACCATTAATGGTCTTCAGTTTGGTTGTAGACCTGTATTTTGTCCACACAGATTATTATCGAGTTTTATGTTGTTTTTGGCATGCCCAGGCATTTTAGCAGCAAAGTTTTATTTTAATTTCAATATAATGGTGTTGATGTTTACTTACTGAAGATATCGATTTCGTAATGACTCAGTTGTTCAACCGGAGTTCAAAATTATTGACGTTTTTATTTTACTTTTACTAAACAGAATCCTTTTAGAATTTATAACCTGAGTAACATGTCCCAAATAACAATTCAATAGATGTTTTATATTCTCTACATGTAAATATATCAATACAAAATATTCCTATAGGAGGATTCAAACAAAGGAAAACCAAACTGGGAACACCTGGATGAGGAGTTGCATGTTCTGGTGAGCGTCGAAGATTTTGAAAGTCGTGCGGCGATTAAACTGAGAAGAGCGTCTGAAACAATTCGTGCATTTCTCGAGCAAGGAGTGAGAACGGTAAGTAGAGGTTTTTGAAGTAAAGCACAAAATCATACGTGAACTGTTTTATTTAAGTCTTAGCTATATAGGACCTAAAACGTTCTGTAAAGAGATGCTTCTAAAAATTGCCTTGGAAACCAAAGCAGCGATATGTCGCGACCCGTTCAGAATTCAGTCATTGAAAATTCTCTGCTAGATTACAACCTAGTACTTCAGTCATCATCATTACAATTTAATCTCCTTGAAAAACTAGTCAGAGATGTTCTTTTATTTTTGTGCGTAACTAAAATGAGTTTTGAGTTGAAGATGGATTTTGAAACACAAAAATACTTTTGATATGGCAAAAATTCGTATAAATAATTTGCGAATAAGCTCAAAGGAAGGCACTTTGAAAAAATCTAAACTTACTAATTTTTAGCGCTGAAACTGAGAGCAGGTTACGCAATAGCTACTAAACGTTCTTAGTAAATTTAATTCACTTTTGAAGGACGGGAAAAATCTGTTGGTCTTGTCGATATTTTTTGATAAGTTGCTTCATATCAGATGCGTATAAAACAACTATAAGGGTTCCGGTGTTGCTCTGTAATCCGTTGAATATAACCCTAAGTTATTGAGTAATCGATTAGATAAAGTACTAAGGTAAAAAATACCACTTCAGTTTGCCTAAATGAAATCAATAAATGTACTGTGCTTCATAAATATCTCAAAAAACAATCTAATATAAACAGGTAGTTAGCACTAAAAACAATTTTATGCACTATGCACGCATATCATCAAAAGTAGTTGAATGACCGATTCTAAGTATATCTAGCTACAAAATTTCTGACTCTAATGATAACAAATGTTTATAATCCGTTACTTTACTTGGTTTCACAGTTTTATTGCATATAAACGAAACTCAATCGACTGTTACACTTTCATTTGAAGTGTTCGGATCGGGTTTTGAATGGTAGAAATTTAACTTAAGGAAACCATAGTTTGTTGGGGCGATGAGTTATTATTAGGAAAGTAATTTCAGATTTTTGATACGATCGTTTTGTTTCGTACTTTTAGCCGTAGTTAAGCAACTGACCGTATTTGACCTTATGATGTCATAAACTATACTTTTATTTGCATCCTATCATTTAGAACCAAATTTTGTTGTTCTCGGATTAGCGGTGAACCATTAATTCGCATAAAGTTTTCTTCATATGAGTTCTAAGGTTTATTAATTGTCTGGTACAGAATAATACAGTTGTATAAATTTAGAGATGCTTTACATCAAGCAATTCCTAAGAATAAATATGATATAAATTTGAATATCAAAGTATTTTCGTTGATAGGTATCAATATCAAGGTTATACTTGATGGTTTTAAATAAATTGAACATTAGGTAGAGAGCTAATAATAAACTGTAGAGAGATTGTATTTCTGACGTTTCGGGACTTATTATAAGCCACTTCTTGAGATAAAATAAGATAAATTCACTCTAAAGAAGTGGCTTAAACTAAGTCACGAAACGTCAGGAGCACGATTTTTGTCTAGTTCCGAAGTATTTTAAGTTGTCGGTTACTCATAAAGTTGGAACGTCGTGAATCTCATCATTATATACTTATGGAATATAGATTAAAATTGGTTATTTTAGCGTGCTTTTGTACATTGTTAATCTTTTTATAGGTCCCCAGTTAAATGTCATTCCATACAGTTCATAGTTTAATTCTGTTCATTCTTTGTGAAATACATTTCTTGGGTTTAGGTTTCTGATAGAGGCAAATTTATTATATTTGTTATATAAGATCACTTAAAAATGCCATTGGTTGGTTTTAGAGATCTGAAAGATTCATTCTAGTAACAACTAGTAAGCAAAGCCACTTTCGAGCTTTGTTTTAGTTATTTAGCAAAACGCATTATTTGAAATGCATACTGTATAGTTTCAAGTTATTATTAAGTATTGAACAAATGTCCTAATGTTAGGTATGGTATTGATGGTACAGATAAACATCATTAGAAACGTATTATTTCTTTACATTACCATGGTTTACATCTAAACAATAGTTGTTTCCAGTCAAAAAGTTAATCATATCCATAACCTATTTTCTATCAATATCTTAACATGTTTAACGTGATTTTTCGGCATTTTTTTTATTGTACTTGTTTTTGTGCGCATGAAATTTTTGTTTGGTGTGACAAGTTAGTGGTCTACTTATTTTTAATTCATTATTAAACTCGAAAGTTTAAAGGAGTTTAGAATATTAGTGGTAAAGAAATAAGAAATATAATCCATTAGGTATAAACCTAAATTATATGTATTTATTTCCACTTAATTATGTTGTTTATATTCAAGTGAATGAGTATTATGATGTCTTAAATCCCACGCTTTTGAGTTATATTTCTCTCCACAGTTCTTCCTGTCAGAAACTAACCATTCTAACTTTCCAACAGTGCGCATCCACGATCGCACCCGCAGGATTCGAACCCAGGACCCAGGGTGCGCACTGCTGAGGAGTCCCGTACTGGGACGAAACAGCCATCTAGTGCTTCCAGGTTTTCTATGGTGGTTTAGCTTTAATTGACTCAAGAATGTAACTATTAAATTACTAAAAAATCCGCACAAAATCCCCTTCTGCTGATAATCCTAACTCTTTTGACCTGGACAATGTTTTCATTTATGATGACTGTCAGTTTGTGGATTTTTTGTGCTCTACTGAACATTGCACTTTTAGCCTCCTGTTTTATCTGAAACTAGAAGAATACTGGACTCTACTAAGTCATGTCAACAACAAGTATTGTTTTAAAGTGTAAGTTTTGTTTGCTACTATTTTACTAGCTTCATTGTAGATAAATATCTATTAGAAGCTGTCTCGAGATTTATTTATAATATGCGGATACTGACCGGGCTTTTTAATTGTACTAGCTTTTGCATCTTCCGAAGCTCAGACCAAGGTTTTCTGTTATTTGACAATAGTGATCATAGTCGATCTTCAACCCTGGTTGATATAATACGACATCGAGGATTCAGATCAGTCTTACTTGCTGCTTCACTTACTGAAATGAAACATATCTTTAAAATTTAAACATACACTTAGCTGGTCAACGCCTATGACGAAAATTACCCAGATCCACTTCACCATAAGAATAACTGTCGATCATCAAAGAAATACGGTCATAATGATGAGTTAAGTGGTCAAGTGACCACATTGTGGAAATGACCAATAAAATTCGACTAACACCAACATAACATTGTCGATAAAGAAGCGTCAGTTAGTATCCATATCCCGGCACTAGTCTGCTGCAATAACTTTGTAACATAGTGATCACTTTCATTGACTCTTAAAACTAACATATTTAAAAAATTTCACCTGTTTTCAACGATTAATTTATAAATACTGTTAATGAAATCGTTGTCAGAGTAACTCATTTTTGTAACTAATTAGTTTCGTACCATCTCTCATTTTTTTAAGCAACTGATTATGTTCAGTTCTTTCATGTCATTCACCTGTAAATGTTGTCTGTTAATGTAAGTCAACACTGGTTTTCTCCATTGTTACTGTCGCTAATGCTGCTGTTCTTCTTCAAGGATTGTAAAGTGTCACAATGAATAAGCCATTCATTAAACTTTTTATCATTATTATTTAGTTCATGATAACAACATACTACACACAAATGGATTAATATAAACTGTAAATATCTTTGAAATTAATTATTATTTATTGAATAATATTTCACTATCAAATAATGAATATAAGTGAATGTTTCACAATGAGAAAATTGTTCTCATTGTATGAAATTATATTAATCATCGAATTTAAAACGTTTTATAAAATTTGTCATTTACTAATCTATTAAAAAGTAGTTAATTGACAACATAAACACAAAACATTTACTGTTAATACTACAGTTAAAAGCACACAATGAGTATAATAATACATTGTACATCGATTTTCCAAATTTCTTCTTAAACACACTGCTCACATTTCTCAGTGGTTTTTTTCTGAAAAAAATTATTCTTTAGAGTTCACTATTTTTATATTTTTCATTTGTTTACTAATTATTCATTCCTTTATACACTAACAATCGATAAATCAACAATTGTGTAGTGAAGAAGATACAGTATATATATATATATATATATATATATATATATATATATATATATATATATATATATATAGAAACTAATTATTGATTTAAATCTAGTTTATTCAATAAAAGTAGCATTGATTTTGAGCGTGATAAGCTTAATATTGATATTTTATTAGTAGGCTAATAATAGTGACAATGAAATTAATTATTTCTTATATTCTAAAATTAATAATCACCACGTAGAGGAGTTTATAAATATATAAGCTAAAAAAGGACCTTTTTTTCAATTGATTATCTGGTTTATATAAGTTCATAATTGGACTATGAAAAAGAGTGATATTGAGATTGCGATAGATGTGCCAAATCTATGAGAGGTAATTTTCATTATAGAAGAGTAATTATTGGATGAATGTGAATATGAGCTGTATTAGCGATCACCAAAAAAAAGCGAATTTGTCTGTATAATTTTGTGTTGTCAGATGTGATGGATTCCTGGAACACTTAATTGATTATTGTTTTCCGTACATTCTAGTAGATATATTGCTTTCCCATATCAAATGAATTCTGACGATTATTCTATGAATTTTCTTAGAAATATCCGTTCTATCCAAAGGTATAAATATTTTATTTATATATGGATTAAAGTCGGTACATATTTCGTACACGCAGATTTTTGAAGGATCATTAGGCAAGTTAAGCTATCAAGTCGAAGCTATTTTTATTGATTTCTTTGCGCTATTTTTCAGTAACAAACTATGTGCTCATCTAACTCTAAATGTCTAAAGTATACGATTTCACTGTTATGGAAACAAAATATGACACTGGACATTAATTTGAACTTTACTGATACTTTCTGTCACTCTTATTGTTTAGACCTAATTGACATTATACACCTGAAATATTTAGAATTACTTTCTGTAACAACTTATTAGTTGTACACTTTCAACAATTCATAC